TCCCAGGAGGTGTCCTGAGGCAGATTGTGCTATAGAAGTATTAAATATGTACAAGCAATAGACACTTTTTAAAATGTAAATATAGTGAGCCAGTTCATTTGTAGCGTGGAGTGTGTTTGTATGTGTACACACAACTCCTGTCTGCTCCAGCTTAGCACAAAAAGCTGGGTAAAGGTCATGAGATTTTGTTCGAGGCTTTGGGGAGAGGGAAGGGGGTTTGCATCAGCCTCCATCCATTCTGCGGTCTCATAGTTTCTTTGCAGCCGCAGGTTTATTTTTTTCAGTTCAGCCATTCTCCTACAGTCTGGACTAATTCTGTTTTACCATTCAACGTAATTAATTTTGCTTCCATTTGCTGTGTTTTGGATTATTCAGTCACCTCCTGCTGCAGTGGCTAGTAATTTTGACTCTCATGCAGTGAACAGCACAATGACCACAATAACAGTGTTATACAACACTTTTTACCCATATGCATAAAACCTCTGACAAAAGTGATTAAATTTCATTGTTGCCATCTTTCTTGATGGAAAGTACAAAAAATTTAAGGGAACTCTCATCTGACAGAAAATTAGCTACACACAGAGATGGTCTGTGACTTTGCCAAAATGTTTTTGAGTTTCTGTATTTTGCTGCCAACAGTCTGTGCCCATCTCAGCTGTTCAGTGACACGCTGGAACTGTGGTTTGCTTTTTCATCCCAGTGCAGGAGATGAAATCCCACCTATGGACCATGACACCTGCTTAAATATGAGTGTTTGACCCATGTTTCCCGTGAAGAATGACAGCATCTCAGGTTCCATGGGATGCTATTCAGCGTTGGAGGCTGAAGTGATATACACAGGCATTCTGCAGAAGTTTCCTTCCAGGATTTCATACACAGTGGTTTTATCCTGATCAGAGCCAGAAGCTAACTCTGATCTAAAAGTAATATATTGCAATAGTATTCTATACACTTTTCTCTATTAATTTGTTCAGTGTAAACTTCTGACATCCACAGAATGCCTGAACACAAAAAAAATCTGCAGTTTGATTACACACTGGGTAAAGAAATACTGCCTTTTGTTCTGACCTGCTGGATTCATCTAATCCCTTCAGCGCTCTCCTGTCTGGTCTACCAGCCAGTGCATTAAATATATGACTGATTTTAAGGGCACAGAATAATTCAAGGTACAAACGTCAGAGTTTCTTACAAAGAATTTGGTTTTTCCTTACCCAGGTGTTTAGTACTGTTTCATTCTTTCTGGAGCCAAATTTGGACTGAGATGCATGCTTTCCATTGGAAATGCAATTACTAAAGCTTAGAAGTGCTGTGGTCCAAGAATTTATTTCACTCAGTCATCTGCACTTCTAAATATATGGTAATTGCTACTCTTTGTGTATGAAATGAGAGAAAATAGAACAAATTGGAGAAATGTTACCTTCTGCAGATAGAGTACTTCTGAGGATAAGATTGTTTTAAAGGTATAACATTGTTAACAGAATTGATTTTTAATTCTTGTTTGCATCTTGGCACAGTCACAGGGCACATTTCCTATGTTTTGTACATTTATTTGAAACAGAATTAGAATAAACTTTTCTCTTTTGTATAAATTACTGGCTTTGTAGGCTGTGTAGGTGTTTTTCAAATGCACACACCATGCTTACTTAAAAGTAATTGCATTTCAAGATAGGATATATATTATGCCCTTCCTATCAAGGTATAGTCATGCGTTACAAGCTGCCATTCTACAAATTTCCAGAGTGACATTTTATTACTGCAGATCATTTTAGGAGACTTCCTGAGAAAGTAAAATGTCTCCTCATATAACTGCCTTTTCAGGTAGAAGCATAACAGAGTGCCTTGGGACAGTAAAGACTAAAAGGATTAGCCATTAGGAGGGCTCTTATATCACCTTTATCTTCAAAGACATCCTAACAGTTTGCCCGGGCAGAAATTCTGGGCAACATTACTTTGATCTGTTGGTGGCTGTGGTTCCTGCAGCGCCAGGGCTGACAGCAGGCAACACCTACTAACCTCACACCATGGGTATGAACATTTACTGTCGTCTTTGCTTCTGCTAATTTTTTGGTCATAATGCTGTTGCCTAGTTCACATCAACAGCAGAAGTTGTTCCAGGGGGAATCAGTCATGGGAAGTGTTCGGGTAGCTTGAAGGAAGAAGTAAGAGAAGCTATTCATCATTCATTAATGCTGAAAAGGTGGTTGCTGTAGAAACCTTTTCCAGGTCTAGCAAATGTCAAGAATCAGTTTGCACCCACTGCAGCACCATAGATCAGATTGGAGATGCTCCCACGCACAGGGACGCTGGAGGCCTGGCGTTCCTTTCTGGAGACACCAGAGATTTCCTGGCCATCTGCCTGATGGGGGGAGCAGCCATCACCATCACCATCCCCCTGTGCAGAGACTGCTGCACTGTCACAATTGCCCCATGCATATTCACAGGGACCGCTTCATCCATCAGGGCACGCTCCCCAGTGCTTTTCTCTGGTCTTGTGCTCATAGCTCATTTCAGCCTGTATAAGAAAGCTGGCTCTGGCAACTCAGAGGCAGAGGTAGCAAGGGATAAAGCGTGACTGAATGTGTTTTAGCTTGGACTGGCAGCAAAAGCCTGGGGCTGTACAGGGAGCACGGCTACCACTTGAAGGAGATCAGACTTGTTCTTCCCTGGAGCATTCACTGAGGCATCATTGAAGACCCAGCAAATCAGAGCTAAAGCTCTGAGTTCAATTGCAGGTTGATAGCAACGATGTCCTAAGCTATTGCAAAGCGTGAACAAGAGCAGGAGGTGCAGAATTTAATCATAGCTTCATAAAGGGGCTGAGTCATAATTTAACCAAGTTCAATTCATTTCTACAGCAGAGGGGCCTTTTAAAGTAAAGATGCTCCAGCCACAAAGGGCTTTACTTATGTGCTGGTTTTGGCTGGGATAGAGTTAATTTTCTTCATAGTAGCTGGTATGGGGCTGTTTTGGATTTGTGCTGAAAACAGTGTTGATAATACAGGGATGTTTTCATTACTGCTGAGCAGTGCTTACACAGAGTGAAGGTCTTTTCTGCTTCTCACCCCACCCCACCAGCGAGGAGGCTGGGGGGACACAAGAAGTTGGGAGGGGACACAGCTGGGACAGCTGATCCCAACTGACCAAAGGGATATTCCAGACCATATGACATCATGCTCAGCATATAAAGCTGGGGGAAGAAGAAGGAAAGGGGGGACGTTCAGAGTGATGGTGTTTGTCTTCCCAAGTAAGCACTAGGCATGATGGAGCCCTGCCTTCCTGGAGATGGCTGAACACCTGCCTGCCAATGGGAAGTGGTGAATGAATTCCTTGTTTTGCTTTGCTTGTGTGTGCAGCTTTTGCTTTACCTAGTAAACTGTCTTTATCTCAACCGACAAGTTTTCTCACTTTTACTCTTCTGATTCTCTTCCCCATCCCACCAGGGGTGGGGAGTGAGTGAGCGGCTGTGTGGGGCTTAGTTGCTGGCCGCGGTTAAGTCTTGACAACTTAGTTCCCTTTGATAAGGACCTCTTAAATGCTTGCTGCTTTGGATTTCAGTCCAATTGCAGTCTGTCTAGTAGAGGTGGTGCAAACTTGCTGAAATAAATGGTTTATCTCCCCAGAGCTGAGGTCCTGTGTGTGGGTTTTGTGAGTTACTTGGCACTTCTTCTGTGGGTTTCCCATTGGTAAAATGAGCTAATGTGTCCATCTCGTTCTGCTGTGCTCTTTGTGAAGGGTTCCTGGGCTTCACTGAGACAATTCATAATAATTTGCTCTGGTTCAGTTCATCTCAGGTTTCTGCATGTAAGGTATCCTGGGTCTCTCTTGGCTGGGTAATTTGTTTCAAAATATGCTTTCTGAGACTAACATTTCTCCCTTTCCATTCGAGACCAGTAGGATGGAGCTGCATTGTTCTTAATATAACATTGATTCTGCAGAGTGATGTTTCTGATTGTTGGGGTAAACGTCAAGATTGCTTTAGATATCCATGTTCTGAATGAAGACACAAGAATATCTCATTATTCAACTATTATGAAGTCTCTCATGTTTTCAGCTTCTATCGATACTGTTGATTTATTTTGATAAGTGTGTTAGAAGCCCAGAGCTTGGAAGGACACGTTACTGATCTCACGCAATCCATTCTGGGCATTAACATAGGAGTATCAGTCACAAATCAATTTTCTCTGAACTTTAATTTGAATACCAGTGCTCCTTGAGGATCTTTCTGGGTCACTTCAGCACTGAGTAAACTGATAATAAATGCAGGCATCCAAATTAGCTGCGTGCCAGCTGCTGTCAGATGTAGCTATCTAGTCTGTTCAGTTTGCTGGCATACGTGTTTCTGTAAAGAGTACTACTCAGCTCTGTCTACCTTCAAAACGGTTTTCAGATTTCAGCCATTCAATCCCAGCTGCTCTGTAAGGAGGCAAGTATTCCTCTGTTATTAATGCACGCTGCCTGGGGAGAATATTTAAGGTGAAGTAGTGTCATTTAGCTAGTTGTTAGACTGTGTAGAAAAACTGTCTGCTACCTTTCTACTCAGCAGACAAACTGAGAAGTATATATCAAGAGAGCTTTAGAAAGCATCTGAGTGAAGTTAATGCCACATAGTGCTATGCAATCCATGAAAAGAATGTGATGAGGCAATTACAAATGAATGTAATATTTGATTTTTTAAAGATATGGGGGAAAGGTTCAGAGGGAGGAACTGAGCTAGAATGGTCACTTGGAGGCACTGCCAACTTAATGTTCCTTTGCTTTTAGTTACTGGTCATGGAAAACAGATGTGTGGGAAATGGCTACAGGTTTATGGAGTGTCTGGAGCCAGGGACTGCCTCGAGAGAGGTCCCACGAAAAGTTTCTTTGTCTACTCCACATGCACGTGCCCCTTACTGGTATCGTAGAGTTAACATATCCCAACGGTTTCTTAGAAACGATGGCCTAGCTTCCCAAATTATTTCCTTTTCTTTTTTCCTTTCATTTCTTTTCTCTCTATGTTTCAGATTATGCTTGGCCTTTGCCTAAACAGTTGTGCCCTATATGGATTTCCCTAGATGTGCTCTTTTCAACTGCATCTATTATGCATCTCTGTGCCATCTCTCTTGATCGGTATGTAGCAATACGCAATCCCATTGAGCACAGCCGCTTCAATTCCCGCACCAAGGCTATTATGAAAATTGCTGCAGTTTGGACCATATCCATAGGTAAGCAATGCGGCTCACGATCTTAACTGTGTCTTAATGAATAATAGTGTTACTCCAATTTTCATTTAGGATTTTTTAAGAGGATACTCAAATTAATTTACCTGGCCTGCATGCCTGAATATAATAAATGATTACTGGGAAATAGATGTCTTCCATTGCGGTTGGTCAGTGACCAGAATAAGCAGTCATTTTTCAGAATACCACCGCTTTCAATGCTGAAGCATTGCTGCTGTGTACATATCAATATGCCGATAATGACGGTAACACAGACAAATGGTACTATAAAACTGCTGTGTAAACAAAGCAGAAAATAGCATTAGCAAAGACTCTGGAAGGAAAAAGCAGCCAGTACAAATGATATGTCTACACTGCAGTTAAACTCACTCAAATTCTGGTGGTGGTTTAAGTAAAGCAGCACAGAATGGAAGGCAGGCTAACAGCGAGGTATTTACTGCTCTTGCGCAGGCTTTATAGCCTATATTGTACTCTGCCACAGCTGGATTGCTCCTAGTACTGAGCTAGCAAGTTTGAAGTCATAGTAAATGAGGACTGGACATAAAAGAACACACTTTTGTATCACTTTGATAGAAGGCAATAAACACAGCAGCAGTAAAATAAGGAAGAAAAGGCAAAATGATAGCAAGATGACTCTAATATCAGGAATTTTATGTGAAGAAAAACATTTTGGGGGGAATTCTTTCAAGGTGCTTTATAGAAGAGATATTTGGGCCAGCGTCAGAAGAATTGTACAACCACTTCCCTCTGCTGTATTGCCTTTTTTTCTTGAATAAAATGCAGTCCTACAAAGATTTAACATTTAACTTTTCTTTTATAAAGCGGTTGTCACTTTCAGTGCTGTACTGCAAGGAAAAGCATGTTTCAGGTGCTTGAACTTCTCTTGAGTTTTGCCTGCTTTGGAAGTGGAATATAATACTGGATGTCTGTGTGCTGCATGGGCTACTTTTGAAGAAGCTTGCCATGGAAAAAGGCTATGGAAAAAGAAAAAAAAATAGGGAAACATACCTTCTCTCCTCATGAATATAACAAGAACACCTGTTAGAAGCAAATTTTCATGTGCCATAGGCCTGCTACAGTTCCTCTAGGTAATACAGTGACATTTCATTTGGTTTAATCAATTCATTTAAGATTTCTTTTTTAAATTATTATTTTAAACTCTGTGCTGCCTGTTTGGCATAGGAAAGAAAGCTGCTGAACTCAGTGCATAAGCAGTCACATGTGAACGTGCGGGATACTTGGGCTTGATTTGCATGGACAGTTCAGAGTCGGCGCAGAATCTGTGCCCTGTGTTGCACTGTAACACAGAGGGAGCAGCCGGTGTCCCCCCCTAGCAGAGCCATATAAATCTGTCAGCAGCAGTAAGTAGCACATTGCAAAACCTGGGCAATAAGACTGTTCTGCTTCCATTTCTGAAGCTAACTTGCAGATTTTTGCCTGTGCTACCTTACATGTTGCAGACATATCCTTAGAAATTCTGGCTAGCGCTGAATGTGGCTGCCTGCACAAGCACCTTGAGGGCTGTTGTGGTTTGGATTATGCGTCCAAGGAATAAAGTAAGGCAATGAGTACCTCATACATGGTTCACTGAGTAAGCAGACTAGTAAGCAAATCTGGGGCCTGACCAAACAGATGTAAAGACAGCCATAGACCTACGTCTTCCTGGAGTTACTGGGTGGGGAATGGGCTTAGGATGATGGAAAATAGGAACATTATGGGCTCTACTGTCCCCCAAGGACAAAAGTACCCAAGCTAGGATAGGCAAGGTGACTTTGTGCTGCTCTAGAGTGCAAACACTTCACCCCTGCCCAGCTTTCTCAGGTGATTTTATTATTGATCCTGTTATTTATAATAGGATGTGAAACAGGTGAAATAACAAACACTAGAAGAAATAGCTTGGAAAGGAGATGGAATGGCACTTTTCTTTTGCAGGCACATGGCTCATCAGCCTTCACTAAGGCAATGGGTGCTGCATTTATTCCCCAGCATCCAAAAGTCTTTAGGAGGAAGCTGTGAGCAGTCACTCAGCGGGACATCTGCAGTGCACAGTGCTTTTAGGGACTGCCCCAGGTAGCGCTTCCCTCCCCAGGCTGGGAAAGGAGATACGTTACAGCTGTACCTGCGTGCCCTCCTTTGCTGGGAGCATAGCTGAGAGGGTGTAAAGCATGTCTGGACTTCGTTTATGTCTTGTTCATTCTCTTTGATGCAGATACAGCTGGTCCAGGGGAGTCTTTGCTTGCATCCCTTTTTTTGAAGACAGGCAGAACCGATACTCCCCAGAGAGTCTGTTCAGGGCACTGAAATGCTGTTGGATTTCCACCCTCCCCAGCGCATGCAGTAGGGCTTACCCATTTACTTGTGCTTTCCTCCAGAAGGTTGCATTAAATGGAGAAAGAAAAGTACTCTTGGTGTGTATCTAGCTTATTTTAGAGTAACTGGTTTTACTTCATAAATGAATTTAGAAATGTGACAGACACAGGAATAAACTGAACATGGAATGAAAGAGAAGGACTCGCCCAAAGTGCATTGTTGCTGTCTTCTGGCTCTTACCTGTCACTTGGAAAGGCCTGATGAAATCCCATGCAATTTTCAAGAGGATGAAATAGGTTAAGTAAATTCATCCTCCAGTATTAAGTATCACAAAAGAATTTGTGCATTTCTGTACCTGATTAAGCATCAAATTCAAAGCAGCCCTTATGTGCAGGCTGGTCAGTTTGCATTTTCTAAATCCTGCTTCAGTTGGACTGAAGAAACTTTTAAAAGCATCCCATGTAAAGAATCCTGAATTCAGTTCCTGAATCAGAACTTAAAATAGGAAGTAAAAAGCATGTAATTTATCTTAATTTAGTAGCTTTTGCGTTCCATTTTCCTGAAATGTTAATGCTGACAGCAAAACATATAATAGAGGTTCTTTGCTCATTGAGCTATGAATTTGGCAGGTTACACAAGCCTAAACCTATGATTAGGTTTTTAAGCAGGGGAACATAACAGAGTCCTCCTGTCTGTTGACAATTGCTTTATGAATGGGTCTTTTCCAAAGTGCTCTTTGTTCCAGAGTAAAGTACATCACAGCCAGTTGTCCTGTGTTTTAGCAAATGTAACCTGAGCAAGACTTTTTGTGTTCAGTTAGAGAAAAAGTGGGTGCTGTGAAGTGCTGGGCTTGTAAAAATGAGTTTTGTGATAGATAGCACTGTGCTGAGGCTGGAAATAGAAATGTAGGCAACAGAAATATCCACACAATTGAAAATGAAAATAAATCATAGATGTGAGCTTGCTGGCAGAATCTGATGTTTCAAGACTTCAGACTTTGGACAGTTACAAGTGCAAAGGTTTTCACGAGTAATATGTGGACTTAACCATCTCACCGGACTACCTGTATTCTGCTCTGAGGAAGGTGGCTTTGGGCCACCCTGGCCAGGAAAGGAGATCCCCATGCAGCTCTTGGCAGGAGTGATGAGGAGCTAGGCAAACTCTAAATGCACACCGTATAAAGTGTTAACTGGGTAATATTAATATAAAAAAAAATCACATTGGAAATGTGAATGAAAGAACTTCAGTGATGTGGAAGGGTGCATAAACATTGCTTCTGATATGAAAATAAGTAAAACATTTTAACTCTGAAGCTCCTCGTTGCCCAGCTGTGTGCCTGCTAGCACAAAAGGGGTTTTCCTCTGCTTGCCAGAAAGTTCAAGGTATGGTCATTTACTAGAGAGCGCCAAAATTACACATGCTACCAATTTCCCAGCTCACAGTTTTACATCCTTAGCAACAGTGTAAATTCAATTTACTTAAGTGACTGAGATAAGGCCACCCTTTAAATTCTGCTCTTTGTATCAGTGCCATAAGCAGACCCCACATGTCTTTTGTTTGTTTGTTTGAAAACAGAATAAGTGACAAAAAAGGAAATGCACTGTTGAATTATGGTAATACCATGATATGTGTTTCTTTTCATTCTCTCTCTGACTCACTAAAGATATTATAATTTTGATTTCAGGTAGATATCCAGGGTTTGTATATATAATAAACCATTCAACTTTTAAAAACTAATTTTACATCCCCATTTAACTTTCGTACTATTTCATTGTTTTATTGAGGAGATCTATTTATAGAAGTATGAAAGACACGTGCTGCAAGGAGCAGTAAATGCTCATCTCAGATTAAGTGATCTTATGTCTAACAGATTTTTGCTTCTGCCCTGAGTGTTCCTCTCTCACACAGGCTGAGCAGCCCCCTGCATCCAAGCTGTCCTAATGATGTCCTTAAAGAGCCTCCAGGTATCAGTTAAGCCGTCCCCTATCTCACTGGGGATAATTCCAGTGGGAAATGATATTCAGCTTGAGGAATGTGCTTGGAGTGGCACCACTGATATTAAAAGGAATTGTAGCTTCCCTAAAGGCTAAGAGGAGTTTGTGCATGGAGGTAAAGGGGCACTGGAGTAATTCACGTAGCTTCCCTTGGGTCATGGTTTTAGAGCATGTTTAGGGTTTTGAATTGCATTTCTGCCCATAGGTGTATCTCTGGGATCAGTGACTTTCTCAGCGAGGCATTTGTTTGTTCCCATGGCATGCTTGCTGATGAGATGTGTTTGCTCCTGAGCACTCTCTGTTCAGTGCGGGGCAGTAATTGCTCCTGAGAGACTGTACTTTGGGATAGGAGCACACACCCATGAATTTCTTGGCAGGCTTCAGGGTCTGGTTAGCAAACAAACTTTTGGACATGTTTCTTGGAAAAAAATGGCAAAAACACTGCTAGTGGAGAAGACAACAAATGGAAGGTCAGAATGTGTTACCAGAATTTTGCTCAAACATTTCCCACCAAGCAGGCTGGTTCTGTTTGTGGCTCATCATTTGGAGACAAGGAAGCAGTGTTAAGACAACTATCACTGGCAAAGCAAAGGTTAGACAGGCACCCTTCACCCCCTGGAAAAGTGTACAAATTCCTGGTTACGAGCACTGCTTTGGTAGAAGGACAGTAACACTATTGCT